TGCCTGCAAACGTAAAACCAATGGATGGTTTACATTGAGGACACTTCCAGGACGAGAAGATGAAACCAAAGAGGGGCTTCGGGGGTCTGACCTGAAGTTCGGTGTTTCATTCTCTCAGCCCCCTGGGAGTGAGCGACTGGGGACAGAACTGTCATCCTGCATGGTGCAGGGCTTCTGGATGTCAGGGAGTCGGGTGGGTCAGAACTCAGGTTTCCTGACATGCTCAGGTGGGCTCTAGGTGGGGACGCTCAATGGGGTGCAGACTAGAGTCCAATGGTAGTCATGGAGGTAAGTACAGATCGGTCTGGGCTGTGCACAGGGCCCGTGCAGGCTCGAGGGTGGGCACCAGAGGCCTGGACTCAAGTTCCGGCCCTGCTGCTTGCAGCCCGTGGACCCCGGCGTGTGTGTCACATGTGCTCCTCATTCTGATCACCTGTTAAGGGAGGAAGGGTCAGGGAGGGCAGTGCGAACCCTGGGACTTGCGGATCTTGTCCTTCACTCCAAGGTGAGAGTGGCTGGTGTGCCCGGGCCTGGCTCTACAGAGAACTGCCGAGCAGAGCTCAGGACCGTGGGAAGCATGCTCAGGGTCCTGGGAACCGGAGAGAAGTTTGGGAAAGGATAGAACGTTCTGGGGAGGCTAAATAGAGATGGTCCCGAAAACCTGCTCTCTGCCCAAAGTGTCTATTCTGGTGAGTATGAAGATCAAAGTGGCCTTTGATATACTTTAAAAGCAGAAAAGGGAAGAAAATCAATGGGTTATTTTTTCCTTCCCTGTAGAGGCAGAATGTACTGATAATTTTTCTTTAGCCAATTAGGAGCTGTGCAACCCCAATGACTGACTTCTTTGGAATGCTCTTATTTTCTAATAATGAATTTATGACTCATTATTATTCTTTTTATAAAAAAAGTTCCAGGAAGAACAAACAAACCAGCCTGATTTCCCTGTCCTTCCCCACCTTCTCTCTCTCCATCTCAATTGTCACAGTCACAGGCCCTTATGATGTTTGAATTAATTTCAATAATTCAAAAAACTTCTAAGTCAGTCTACTGATACATACTTTTATGCACCTACTGTGTGCAAAGTACCAAAAGATAGTCACATTTAATGCACAAATGCCCTATGTACACAGTATGAAGGCCCATGAATAACTTCCATACTCAGCTCATCACACTCAAAGGCAAGGGTGTCTGGGAAAGGCAGTTGGTTGGCTTTCCTAAAATACAGGAAATATGCTTTCCCTTCTTTAGGACAAGAGAGCTGCGGCTGAACCCAGTGTGGAGACTCACCTCCTCATAGGCGTAGCAAAGGTCATGCAGTTGCAAACTTGGAAAAGACGATGTAGGCAAATTGAGACATGACTTGCTCAAAGAGAGCCAGGGATGTGGAAGGACAGTAGAGCCTCCGTGAGAAGGAGCTTGTGGAGGGAAGATAGGAGAAGCCACGGAAGGAAGAGGAGCTCAGAAATTCAGCAGAGGGAATTGAACATTCTGAACGCAGAGCGATTTTGGCTCTGCCTCCCAGCAAGGAAAGGAGGGAGAGAGTGAGAGAAAGCAGGGTGCGTTTCTGCTACAGACCAGTTGTACCCTGGGGCCCCCCGCTGGGGCAGCCGTGCAGCTGGGACAATGCGGGAAGGGGAAGGAGAGTAACACGAGGAGGGAATTTCTTGCTGGCCCTGAAGGCAATGATTCCTTTTGGTGACAACCCAGGTTAATGTCTTAGGCAGCAAGCCACCTCGCCTGGCACAGGCTGTTTTAGTGTCCTGCTGTAGGTTTCATGGAAACGGCCAATTCAGCTCTCCATTCGGAGACTCTTTACACAGCTTTTGTGAAAAGTTCAAGAACTTCTATCACTCTCCACCTACCTGTATCCGTGTGTAAACTGTCCTCAATCCCATCCATCCCAATAAGGACCTCCGCCTGCTAGGGGTTTCAAGTTCACCCACAGAGACGCTGCTGTTACTGACTCCGCAGAGGGAAAAAAAATAGAGGTTGTGGTTTCTGCTGGATTCCGCTCCCTTCCCGCTGGGCCTACCCCTAATAAGGGTCCTGACCCCTTCCCATTCTCCAGCGGACTAATTCATTTCAAAAGCGACAAGAGAGGCAAGGAAATATTTTTCGATTCTTGTTTTCATCAAGAAGTGAACGAAAACGAAATCACCTCAAGAGAAAAAGGCCTGGTGTAAGCAGGGGAGATCAGGGGCGGACAGGGTTGGTTTTCGTCTGGAGTCATTAGCAGCCTCTGGGAGAGAAGATTTGAAATCTGTTCACAACCGCTTAGGGATGGGCAGGAGGTGCAATGAAGAGGTGATGGGTTAAGCCCAATTTCTCACTGAAGATACACACAGGCTCAGGGAAACTGAAGCTCTGATGACTTGATTTCTGTAAAGGGTGGACCCTACTGTAAGCACTCGGAAGAGCAAGCACACGAGAGCCCCCCACAGCCGTCTCTGCCAACCTTCAGAAATAAGTGCACTTACGATCTTTGGAAATCGGCACAGTCTTGGAAAACAAGTGGCTTAAAATCTCCAAACCACTGCCTAAGTGGACAGGGCCCAACTTCCTAGGGGGCTCGTGGGCCTCCAAAGCCCTAGATGGACAGAGGCTTTGGAAATTAAAAGCCAGGTTGAATGGGGGCCCTGAGCACTCACCCTTCCTCCCTGGGCCTTGGCTGCAAGTGAAAAGGGAATTCTGGTCCTGAAGGGAACCTGGCTCAGCTCTCCCCTCACTGCCTGGAGGCCCCATGCCCAGGGAGGGGAGCTAAACCCACAACTCCTGTGGGCATCACACAGTCCTTGGGAAGTGTTGCAATTCTAACCTTTTGGGGGATGATTCAGGGAGAGAGAGGGTGTATGGTTTGGAGAGAAAGTTAAAGGGGTTGGGCAGTATGTTTGGGAATGTAGACACCAAACAGATGGAATTTTAATCAAAATACTTAAGCCTTTTAATGCACAAATGATCCAAATCTCCCTCTAGTCCTCTTGCCTTCTGGGAATTATTAAATATTTAAGAGATCATAGTATTAAGAATCTGCAATGTATAACCCTCATGAGAAAGTGTATGTATACCAAGTCACCAGTTTCTAGGTACCCTTCTCCTAAAAGAATGTCCTGCCCTTCCTGTAATCTCTTGGCTGCATATCTCCATCCATCTAACTAAAATCCAAGGGAAGCAAATTGCTACTATGATCATTTCCCCAAAGCAGCTCTCATTCACTTTGCTTTTCTTTTGGAATAAAAGTCTGCCATAAATGTTTAATTAAATGGAAGTCTTTCTGCTGCTAATGACTAGCTGCATGAAAGGCTCTTCATTTTTTTTTAAGGAGGGGTGTGTTTAAAACAGTCCCTATTAATTTCCTGATATTGATTCTCTGGCCAGGGAAGAGCATATAGTATTCAGCATAGAGCTGCTATGCAGACTATGTTTGAGGCAGCAGTTTGGATTGAGAAAGGGCACCAAATGCAGTATGCGTCAAATAGACCATCGCTCAATGAAGTCACTTAGCTATTCAAAACATGTTCAGCCATCACTCAACCGTTTGCCTCAAGAATGTTGGGAGAGGGGCACAGAATTGAAGCTCTTTCCCAGACACAACCATTTCCCAAAGAGTGGCTTTTGCCCAGTTTGGCTTGGACCCTGGGGTCACATCAGTTTCCCCCTCTCTGGTCTGTTTCCCTCTTTTTTCCCCCATCTCCTGGCTTCCACTCCCTGCATCACCATCCCATGTTGAGCTTAACAAACAATCCTGCAGTCCCTGCTTCCCGATGCTGCCTCCAACAGCCTCCGGTATTGGTTCAAATCAGAAGCAAAGCACATAAGCCTTCTCTTCACACGGAAACACGTATCTCTCTGTGCATGTCTTTCTATGAGTGGCTGTATCTTGTACACATAGACATATGTGACCATTCAAATGCAGTCTTTCCCGTTAAAGTCTGTTGCTAAATGCAGGTTGTATGACCTGCAGGAGTTTTTTTTTTTCAGTGCTTATTAGCGTGTCTCACAAGCCCATGCCTTCATCCGCACTCTGATCACCCAGGCTTTATCCTGACCCCTTTGCCCACAGCACATGCATTGGCACACATGTCCTGATGACCCTGCAAGATCAAGGCGAACAGCTGACACCCCTGCCCCACTGCTCTCCTGTCCACCCCTCTTCAACCTCCCCGCGCCCTCGCCTTCTTCCTGGCCTCCCTGCATAACGTCTGATTCTCCAGCTGGCTGCAATGCTGACTCTACTCACTTTTGGGTAACAGACATGTCACTCTGCATGGAAGTGAACTGGTTTTCAGTCTAACCTGCAAGTGAATTGCTGTTTATTAGAACTTGTGCTTGTTTCCTGTGAGAGACGTACGTATTTTTAGACTTCGTAAATGTTAAAACACACATACACACACAGTCACCTCCAACGATATGTGTGGCTCATAGACATTACGAAATGCTCTTGAACTCAGCTTGAGATCCTGGAATAATTAGGATTTACCAAATAAGGATTCTTAGAAACAACAATTTTTTTTTTAAAAAAAGGAGACTTGCAGATGATAATATGTTTGGGACTTTGGGGGAGTAAGGGGGAGCAGGAGGGGGAAAGGGAGAACATTTTGAATTCCTCATTATGAAAAGAGGAGCAGCGTTGACAGAGGCAGTTATCCTCCCCACCCCAGAAATGGCAAGACTACATCAAATGGCAAATCCTAATGATTCCAAAGTAGGCTGAGCACATTTGACTTTTAAAAACAGTCTCGTGTTGTTTTAATTACATCACAGATTATTCCAATGAAGAGGTTTGGGGAAAGGGAGGGAGGTGGTGAAGGCTTGAGAGTTGAGAATGGTTCTTGCTTATTGATTTCCTTTTCTCCGAAACTAACCCAAGCAACCTTAATCTGCGGTGGAAGGAGTGAAGTAAGAAAATGGTGGAATGTAAAGGGGACTTCTCTGGAGGAGGGTGGGGAGGGGGAGTGGGGAGGGGAGGGGTGGAGAGGGGGAGGAGATGGGAAATCACATACCTTCTAGGCAGCAGGTTCTCCATAATCCGGAGTGGGTCATAACTTCCTCGTTCTTTTTGCTGGTTTCATTCTCACTGACACTTTTGGTCTTGCAAACCCCTCTGGAGTAGAGCCAATAGTCAGTTCCCACAGCTATGGTCATCAGACTGAAGGCAGCGAAAGCACCAACGGTGGTTAAAAGCATTTGAACACCTCGGTCAAACAGCCCCATAATTCTTCATTATATAAACACCCAACCGACTTCTGGTTCTCGGGAGAGTGTGTGTGAGGGTGCAAGTGCTACAGCAAAAAATAAAATAAAAATAATTCCACTACTAATATAATGGATATATGTGTGAATAGAGACTGTGGAGAGATATAAAAAAAGGGAGGTAAGAAAGCTCACGGAAAAGAGTATAAATTATAAAGATCACACGGGAAGAGAGGCTTGCCTTTTGAGATCAGAAACTGTTCCAGTTGCAGTGATTTTCTTTTTAAAAAAGGAAAAAAAAATAAAAAGACACCCCCCACCCCCCCAAGTGAGATGCCTTAATCTCTTTTCCTAAAATTCTGGTCTCCAGTTTCCATATGTGACAGCTAATTTGGAGATGGCTTCCACAGTGAACCAGGGGACCGCCGTATTCTCAACACAATCTCTCATGGTCGGGACCTGGACAGTTAGAGATTGCAAAAGCCGAGATGCAACCTTCCGTCTCTGCGGCCTGCGCCATGAAAATCCTTCGCTTCGCCAGTTCTCTTCCTTGGGGGGTCTCGGGCGCTTTCGTTTCAGACCAGACTTCCCAGTATTCTGTAAGCCCTTGATCTCAGCTGAACAGGTGCGGGGGTCTCGCCTTCCATGGTTTTGCCCCGGCAGCGGCAGCGGCGGCAGCAGCAGGGCGGGCAGGCGCAGCGGCGGCAGGACGAGCAGCGGCGGCGGTTATTGTTGTTGGTGGCGGGGTAGTGTTGGCGAAGTGGGGGAGGGAAGGGGTTTCTCCCGGAGAATCGAGGCGGGTTTCCCTCCCCCTATCTGCAAAGCTCCTGGAAACAAGGGAGCCGGCGTCTTGCTGCAGGATGGGCCGCCCGCCCGCCCCCCCACGCTCCCTGCCGGCCGGCCCCCGGCGGAGGCGCTCCCACCTACTGCATTACCGGGTGGTGCTGAACTGGACAGCTCCCCCGCGCCTCCCGCTCCGCGCGCGCCCGGGCAGGCAGGGCGGCCCGCCAGGAGGGGGGCGCGGGCCAGAGTCCTCCCTCCCCTCGCGGGCAGCGAGGCCAGGACAGAGCGGAGGCTGCCTTTCCTTTTTTTTTTTTACCCCTCTCCCAAATCCTAAAATGTGCGCTCTCCTGGGCTCCCAGAGCTCAGAGGAAGGCGTAGCTAGAGATAGCTCGCTCTCTCCCCCCCCACCCCACTCTCTCTTCCCTTCCCTCCCTTTCCCCTTGGTATTTCTTCCTGCTCAGCCTCTTTCTCATTCCATCTCTACGTGCCCAGAGCTTCAAATTCAACCCTCCCATCGCAATCAGATGGGCACAAAACTTCAACCAGCCGTTTCTCTGCCTGGAAGCAGTGGAAACATAACATGGATGGGTAATTACAGACACGGTCTTTATGTATTTTTTAAATCAGCGTTTCGACTTTACTGTTCTGGGGTTTATTTTATTGGCACGTTCGCTGCGTCTCCTTTTCGGTTGCTCTCTCTCGTCTCTTTGTCTCTCTCTGGCTAACTGGCGGTGTGCAGTGCACAGTGTCTCTCTGTGGTTTTCCGTGAAATCCCGAATCTTGCTCCTACAAGCAGACATTTTGGAAAGATTATTCGTGGAAAAGGTGCGGAACGGTGACTGGTGGCTGGGGCTTGGGCAATAATTTTCATTTTAAGGATAAATATGTTTGTAGGGGAAGTTGGTGAAGTGTGGATCCTTCTTAAGTTTCCCTTGCCATTCATAAACTGGACTGGAAGAGCTAAAAATCTCCCTGCTGTGAACATTGAAACACATTATAACACATATCCTCCTCTGCAGAATCCTTATCCTGGGTTAATTACAGTGTCACTTCTTGCTTCTACATGGGAAGCTTTTCCTTAATGTGAACCCTGAAAAAAAGAAGCACATCAAATTCCTGCTGCTACTGATTCCATTTTTCTCTGATCGGCTTCACAGTGAAGTGAGTTTAGCACATGAGGCATGATGGGGGATGCACTGTTTTTAATTTTGTTGGTGAGGGAGGAGCCTGGAGAGAACTGTGAGTCTGATGGGTCGGTTGGGGGTTAGAGTTGTTGTAATTTCATGATGTAATTATTCCATACTTTCTTCTGTCTCACTCCATTTTTGTCTTACTTGACAATTTCTCAGGGATCTGGTGATTTCCAAAGAGCATGCAATAGATGACTGAGTTAAAATGAGACTCTCTTTGGTGTTGTCTAACTTCAAACCCTCAGCTCAGAGTTGGTCTTCAGGAACAACCAGTGCATTTGTTTGTGTGTATGTGTGTGTGGAAAACCTACCTGTTTCTCCACCCTGCGTAAAACTTTCTTCTCTCCCTTTCAGCTCTCGTCTCAGAAGTAAAGCACTCCTGTGAGGGGCGAATGCTGTGCTCCTGGCACCTGCACGGGGTCCCGGTGCCTGGAGAACAGAACCGAGGCCTCTGCAGCCCCCGCTGAGGTGCCTTTAGGGTGTAGAAAGAGTTCCGTGTGCAGACTGAAGATCTCCCCAGGTTGGTTTCTTATCCTGTGAGCATGGGGTGGGAGAGGGGCAGATCCATGGATCCCACTAGGTGGGGAACCTAGCAAGTTCAGTCAGTGTTCATTCAGGTGGTTTTGGCTCCTCTCCTGGAGGGGAAAGTGAGGAGCAAGCAGGAACTTCTCTTAGATTGGTTGGGCCTTTTAGGGACAGTGGAGAGAGGCTCGGGTATATTCACATAAGCTTTACACGCTTGCTTTACACGCTTGCCCTCACTAACTCTTGTCCCCTTGGTTGCCTTTGACCTGTCCCATAAGTCCCTTCAGACTGGAGATAGAGGCCTCCTCATCTCCCCACCCCTTTCACACCAACCCCTGAATCTTTTGCTCCAAGGAAATCGGTAACAGAGGCTCAGAAGCTTCTGTTTTGTCCACAGAAGCTGCTAACATCTTAGCCACTGACAGCAGCCCCTGCTGTAGCAGCATTTGATTGATCTTCTGGCCAGATAATCATTGAGAAAAGGAAATGGGGATGGAGAGGAAGGGAAAAGCTTTCAGGCTGCCAATACGGAGAGAAAGAGACTTCTGGAGACAGAACAGACCTGAGGGTGTAGCTGGACTCTGCTACTTGGTAACTGCATTAACTCAAAACAAGTCCACTTTCTAGTGCCTCAGTTTCACAGTATGTAAAATGGGCACATTAGTACCTGCCTCCTTTTTCCCTCCTTTTCCCCCAGAAGTTATTCCCAGCTACTCTTTGCTTTTCACTGCCGCCGTCCTGCTCAGGCCTCTACGATCCCATTTGCAGCACTTTAGTGTGTATGTGTCATCTCTTCTGCTGACTTTTGATTGCCCTTTGAAGTCAATAGCTGTGTCTCATTCAGCATCATGTCTTTGGGACCTGGCCCAGGGCTTGGTACATAGTAGATGCTTGATAAACAATGGCTGGGTGGTCATAATGAAGTTGAATGGTGTGGGATAGGTGAAGTTCCTGGTACATAGTAGGACTCAATAAATGTGGGTTTCCTCTCATTTCTCCTCCCCCCATTTACATCCAGGTTGGTCCCCAGCTTCTTCCCCTGCCTAACTCACATACTGCTCTTCTTGCCCCTTCCCAACCTAGCTCTACTCCTTAGGTCTCTTCTGCAGACTAGGCAAGGCCTCCTGGGAAGAGCTGGCTTGGTGCAAGTCTTGTTAGATGGTTTGGACTCACCAGGCACACACACTTAGCAGTGCAGAATGGATGCTTCTAGGGGAGCAGCTTTGTGTGCCTGCAGTTGGTTACTTGGTAAGGGCTTACAGGAAATTAGCTGAAATGCCAGAGGCCTATTTTGAGCTTCTTTTTGATGGAGTGGAAATAACTTGGGATTTGGGAGCAGCAGTCCTGGCCTTGGAGCACAAGGTTGACATTTCCTCATTGTTTGACCTTGTGCAGTTGCTTAACTTCTCTGAAAATCTCTCTTCATTGGTCAAGGAGCACCACCGGGAAGAGCCTTGTATGGTGCGGTTGTCTGTCTTGTATGTTAAAAACAATGATAACAACTCATGTGCCAGGCACTGATCTAAGCTGGATTCCATCATTATTCCCATTTTACAGATGAGGAAACTGAGTCATATAATGGTGTTTTTTTTTTCAAGTGTCTGGCCTAAGGTTGTCCAGTTAGTGAGTGGCAGAGCTGGGAGTCCAATGGAGCTGTGCAGGTTAAGAGCCTATGTCCTTAGCACTGCCTTGACACAAGATATGGGCATTTTGAATCAGGGTGTTACACCAAGTCTATTTCCTTCTCATCCACGGATGTGGCAAGCTTTTAGGGAGTAACTCCCGGGTGCCAGGAGTTTTCACACAGATTCTCACACTTACCTTTCTAAGAACCCTGCAAATGCCTATTACTATCTTATCTTATAGGTGAATGAAGAGAGGCTCAGAGATGTCTTGTATCACATCTCAAGGTCATATATCAAGTTATGTGAAACAGCAGTGATCTGCACATTTGCACAGCTTCAGATTCTACAAGCTCCAAGTCCCATAGTTTATTCATTTGGTCATTCCTTTGTTCAACAAATTGAGCAACTACTATGTGTCAGGTACCATCTGAATTCCTGAGGATGTTGAGCAGGAATGGTCACTTCCTCCATGGACCTGAAGACAAGCAGGAGGAACAGACAAGTAAGGAATAGCGGCAGTTAGGTGAGGGATGCTGTGGGGACAGACAAGAAGGCTGAGGCTAAATCAGGGAGACTGCTGTGCCCGGGACGACAGGCCGTCCATTGGCATTGCCGTCCTTGTGGCCCTTTCCCAGGCAGGAGCCACAGGGTGGGATGAGAACAGGCTGTGGAGTCAGATGGGCCTGGGCTTTTGACCCCAGCTCTGCTGCTTCCTCTCTGCGTGACCTTTGACTGTGACTTATCCCCTCCTAGCCTCAGCTTCCTCATCAGGAAATGGGGTACGAGATGCCTGGTTTGTTCCTACCTTAAGTCATTCGCACTTGGTGTTCCCTCTGTCAGAACGTTTTCCTCCCTCAGCGCTGGACCCCCAGCTCATCACTCAGCTCTGAGCTGAAATATCACATCCAATGAAGCATTGCTGGTCATACAA